TCACGACTGCTGTACACCAGCTGAGGATCTGGCCATAAATGTCAGATTCCAGGAACTCCTTACGGTCCCCTTTACATGTCCATATAATGTATTGTGTAGGCTTTCGACTTGCGGTATCCTTTGATCCTCCCTTTTCCTTTCTTCGCGCTATTCTTATTGATTTCCATGAAGAAAAGGCGCATGCAATTCGCATATTATTAATATTAATTAGCAGTAACATTATTAACATTCCCAAGAATGAATTTAGTCCTTAGAGGTCATAAATCCACACTGCCTTCATCAATTCCACCCTATAAGGAGCCCAGGACAATGGACTCTGTAGGAATTGTCGGAATTTACCTATAAACAGTTCGAATTCCTTTCCAGGTTTACTACAGAGTGGGACCAACACTATAGGCAAGAAAATATCCCGTTTACTACCATAAGCCTACAGTGATTAACCCAATTTATATCTCCTGGACTGACTTGTTTTAAAAGGCTTAACATTAATACAGTGGTTATTAAAAACAAGCAAACAAACAAAAACACTTTGATGATTTGGCCCATTAAAAATGAAGCAGGTTGGTTTGCTTCACATCCGGGGTTAATATAAGCTAATCGTGAGACTAAAGCCAATAGCCCAATGAATAAACCTGACTAGCTGTTAGGCAGCCGTGTTAGTCAGGTTCCTTTGTTTAATTAATTACAATTAAGGCATTCTCCGCTAATTTCCTGTAGGACTCCTGATGACTTCTCCACTGAGTGAACGCGAAAGGGAATTAGGCCTATGGGCTCCATACTCGTGTGCTTTTTCCACGATGGCCAGATAAGATGCAAATTCAATTTGGATCTTTTATTATTAATTATTATTATTATTAGGAAGAAAATGCTTCTGTTCCTAGGAAGGTGACGTGCAGATGGTTAAATCATCTGAGAGAAAGCAATCACTCCACTGACATATTTGCTTTCTTTTGGGTATGGGAGGGAGCACAGAGGTGTTTAAAAAAAACCCAACAACCTAGGAAAATACTGCCTGGGACGAGATGA